AAGTATGATAATTATAATGTATAATGCATATTCTATAATAAGCCGCTATTAATAATAAATCAGGAGCTAGAAATTGATCAATCATAATTAGTTCTTCTTACATTTGACTATGATTAGTCAATTTTTAGCTTCTGGCTTCTGATTTATGACTAACAGCTTATTATAGAAGGCCCATTACGATTACGATGCTTATCTGGCGATATGATAGTCAATAATGAGAATGAGGTTAGGTGAAATCCACGAGCATCGTGAGATTGATTGATAGGCCAAACCATAGAACAATATTTAAAACATTATTTAAAACAATATTAAAAATATTATTTAAGACAATATTAAAACTATAATTGCAGCATTACGATAAATGCAGATGGACCTTAATGTATTATCTATTTAATAAAAATTTACAGGACAATCTTTGGCAATGAGAACAATGACATTGATTTAGCTGCTAGATATATAGCACAACAAATTAACATTGAGAAATCATTATTGCTGTCAATAGCACTAAAAGATTATGATTTGAATACTTTGAAGTCCATTGTCGCTGCTATAAATCAGATAAAACCGTGGTAATGTTACATTAGTTAAAGCATCATGAGCTTAATCTTTGGTCAACTTGTTATTGGCCCACCTGGTAGTGGGAAAACAACATATTGCAATGCAATGTCCAAATTTTTGGAGTCCATTGGAAGGAAAGTAGCCGTCATTAATATTGGTATGTTAATTCAGTATTTATTCTATAACTCTTAATGACAGTATCGATATCAGTTGCGCAGGTATGGTATGATAAAAAAAGCAGTACTACGACATTATAACTGACACGGCGTTAAGAATTAGGATAAAATATGATTATGCTTTTTTTTCTTCTAAATCTAAGACTAAATCTAAGCCAACAATTGCCACATTTTAGATCCGGCAAATGAAAATATGGAGTATACTCCAGCGGCAGATATATCTGAATTAATTAAACATGAAGAAGTCATGGCACATTTTGGACTTGGACCAAATGGAGCTTTAGTTTATTGTATGGAATTCTTAGAAACCAACATCAAATGGCTTATCACTAAAGTTTTGAATTTAAAGGATCACTACCTTATTTTTGACTGTCCTGGTCAAGTGAGTCGTTTTTCTTAAATTTTTTGTCTACCTTTACATGTATATAATGCTAAATAATACATTGTTAATGCATTAGGTTGAGTTATATACGCATCATAAATCAGTGAGTCAAATAGCAGAGAAGTTGAACCAGAATTTAGTAAGATTATGCAGCGTGCATCTTGTGGATTCGCATCATTGTAGCGATCCTGGTAGATATTAATGCATTTACTCGAATTAGTTAAACATATAAACTGTTAAAAATTGCTAATAATTATTATAATTTTTTAGGAAAATACCTATCCTCTCTAATTCTTTGCACAACAGTGATGTTACAAATAGGCTTGCCTCATGTAAATATAATGACAAAGTTTGATGAAATGAAAAAATTCAGCAATCAGCTAGCATTCAATATAGATTTTTACACTGAAGTGCTGGATTTAAATTATCTCTTGGAGCAGTTGGATGAAAATCCCTTCACTGCAAAGTAAGTTAAATATAGCTAAATAAAAATGTGTCATTAAAATTGAAATATAGAGAAAACTTTTATATTTGTAATATTTTATAGGTACAAAAAACTTAATACTGCGCTAGTATCAATAATCGAAGATTATAGTCTCGTTAGTTTTATACCATTGGACGTTACAAACAAAGCATTATTGCTACAAGTAAAGAACGCGATAGATAAAGCTAATGGATACGTATTCGGTGGCAATGAGCCACGAGACGTTCAAACATTACTCGCATGTGCAGTAGGAGCAGTCAATGAAACTGAAAAGATGTCAACATTGGATGAATATTTATCGCTTTAAAGTGATACTACAATATACTAACATATTATACATCTCTATTACATTCGTTTTTATGTAAGAATATCTTGACATTATTTTTATTATGTTTATAAATAATAAATGCTGTGTAATTGATAAAAGTGCTCTTGTTATGTGCATTTTTCAATCCAATTGATTAACAAAAATTTGTGCTAGATCATCGTAATCGTAGACCCTTTTTAAAAATGTGTCTGTAAGTTTTAAACCGGAAATAGTCTGTAAAAGAGCAATATTTAGTAAAATGCATTAAAATGAATTCTCATAATTCTCATAAATAAATTACTCACAATAATGCCTGTATCCAAAATAATGAAGCAGAGAGGTATATCCATGGAAACTCCAGGTTTCAAAGTGCCAATTATTGTGTCAGACATCCCACACCAAGCTATGGAATTATTTGACTCTAAACTCAGTAATAATTCCATACTTCTTTCTCTGTACAAAGAAATGAAAGAATTGTTATTATATTCATGATAATTCTGTGTATTTTTGCACTGCAGTCACACTTACGATGTATTTATAATATGACATGTACAATTAACTGGTTCTTCAAGATAAGCCTTTAAAGGAATATCCTTTATGATAACCCTCAGATCTCCATACTCAGGTGCCTGAGACAAACGAATTATGTTGGTGCGTTATTTTATATAACTTTTTTACGTACTCATTGAAGAATAGTACACAACATACCATTCTCTGCAATTGACTCGTTTGCAATCTTCCTCTTTCTCCTAAATTACTTCTCCATACAATATCCAATTTGCCAATATTTGTTGCATTTTGCATCATTTTCGGATCTTTTAACAAGCTTAACTGTGGCTTTAAACAATATAGATATTGTCTACTACAGCCTGCATCTAATAAATTTACACTTCCGTAGATAGAGTCTCCCTCGTCGTTTGTATTTAATGTAGTCACTAAAACATGGCGCGTTTCGAATTTAAGGTTTTTAAACTGATATTTATAATCATCTTATTTCAAAACTAAAGATGCTCTTTAATTGGCTTATGACATCTTTAAATATAAGAATTATAAATACATGCTTTAGTCAACATTACAGTCAATGAGAACTTACCGCTAAATAAGTGGGACGATTCAAGAGCAACTTTTTCTAAACAAATTGGCCCAGCTGTTAGATTCTGTATTTGTGCTTCGAGATATACCTCATCTGACTTTAATAAATATTATCATGAAACCGCGAAAGTAACACAGAGAGAGAGAGAGAGAGAGAGAGAGAGAGAGAGAACATTAATATATCATAGTATTAGTATAACTTACTGAATACTTAAGTATTACCTCTGCATTATAAAATTTAGTCTTCACGTCAAGCGGTTTAACTACTTGGAACTTGAAATATTTTCTAAATGACAGTGGAGGTCCAATCTGATTTGTATAAGACACTTCACAAACTAATCTAGAAATACAAGAAAGATATATTTTCTATTTGAAGAAAAAATGAATTTTTTAATACAGAAACTTATAAATATCCTTACATATGTGTACCTATTTCCTTAACTTCATGATGAATAACTTCATCCACTGTACTGTCAGGTGCTAATTCTTTTCCTTCCAGGTTATTACTCGAGAGTGGAATAACTTGTGTACTTGTTTGTAAATCTGCCTATAAAATGTAGAAATGTATAATGTTAGGAAATATAGAAATGCATTTGATGTCAAATAAGATCACTTGAGATAAAATCTTAATGTGTACTTAAACTTACTTTTACAGTAACATTTGTTACCACTTGATTACTGCCATTGTGAACACATAAATAACTAGAGAATATCTCTCCTAAATATATATTTCTGAAATAATAAATATCAATTTCAATATTTGTTGAAATATATACTTTTCCTGTTATTAAACGCAAAGAAAAATTCTCGGTCAAGAGACATACCCAAAACTTTGAGGCAATACCATAAATTGTCCTATAGCGAGTGCCTCCATGCCTTGCAATGTCGTACAATCGTTCTTAAGTTCGTTGTTCAATGTATTACCTGGCAAGTCTGTAGAATCACATGTGACAACCATGGGACTGGCCAAGGTAGGTCGTGTCAATCTCATTACTATAAAAAATAATTTGTTCATAATTTCATTAATGTATATAATTTTCTTCTACATCATTTCTCCAATTAAAAAATTGTTGTACATATATCAAATAATAATACTCTCTATCTCCAGATAGAATATAGAAGTTATGATATTTAAAAAAATGTCATTATAACTTTGTTATTAAAAATGACAAATAAAGTCATGATGTCGTTCTTCTGACATCATATGATTTCTGTGTTCTATCTGGGTAGTCTAAAATATGAAAAGCAATATAATTCTTACTGCTTCGCGACAAGTTACCTTTCAAAGTTAGCAAATGTTCACTTTTCGCTTTGACTTCCATTTTTTCTGCTTAAATCACGAAAAAAATATTAAACAAACATGGTTTAAAAAATAAATTATTTATATATCACTGTGTCAAATCAATCTGTGTCACTTCAGAAATCTAACTTCGTTATCTTATGTCAGATTTGTAACTGCACCACAATGGTACTTTCTACACTTTCAGGTGCTTTCTACACTTAAAATAAAACAGCTATGTATTATTTGGCAGTAGAGAGTAAAAGAAAGAAAAAGTTAAAAAGTATACAAGATTCCTAAAAAAAAAAAACAAATTAATCAATAAATCGAAAACTAATTTTTTAATCGATCAGTCGACATGGTTACGACTTATTTCGATACATAATTTAAAATGTAGTTCTAAAGGATTCAGTCCTTTATTTTTAGAAATTATTAGAATTGCTAATGCGATATTATTATTTGTTATTTGCAATATTAAACACAATTTCTAAGTAAATTGATTCGACATTTTTGACATTTTTGCATATAATATGATACCGTCAAAATAATTTTCAATATATATTGCAAATATTTTATAGAGACACTTTAATAAAAGAAAAATGAAAAGAAAGAGAATGTAATATATATAATTTACGTCTTTTAAAAAGATTGATACAGTTTCCATCATTTCCAACGATTACATTATCCTAAGTCGATATATTTATTGAAGAAATTGAGAGAACGCGCTATGAATCAATGAATGCGCTATAGCTATCAGTTGAAATAGAAATGTCGAAGGATTTATTTCACAAATATGACCTTAATGGGCGGTGTTGTGATTTATAGTTATAATTACATATTTATTATCGTATTGTAATATATACTTTCCGTCCTCTGGATGAAGGTATGCTTGCTTAATGCATTTACCGAAAAGATAACCTCTTTTGATGGTACTTCGAATTTTGAGAAATCGTGCCAGCGGCCGGTGGATTTGCTAATTGTACGCTATATAATTATCATTTTATGCTTGTTCGTTACGTAACTATCCCTTCGCGCGATACTGTTATTTCAAGTCGCTCGAACTAGTGATTCACCTCTATATTTTGCTTATATTATATATGTGGCATTTAGTCTCATATACATCTTTTTCTATACATTTTTCAGTGTATTATAAACGAGCAACTATGTTTGACCAAAGAATCATAGCAATCTGTTTTCTTGTGTGCTTTGTAATAGTATTTAACTTCTCTCTTCATCGCATTGAAGAGGGTCATGTGGGGGTGTACTTTCGAGTAAGTTGTTTTGAACAAGTCGTTTTTCCATTATCTCCAATAGTCTCATTCCTTTTAACTCTATGAATATTTGTCAGGGTGGCGCACTATTACCTCAAGTGAGTAATCCAGGATTTCACATGATGATACCATTTCTGACCACATATCGTTCAGTTCAAGTAACTCTACAAACAGATGAAGTAAAGAATGTACCATGTGGAACTAGCGGTGGTGTTATAATCTACTTTGATCGTATAGAAGTTGTAAATATATTGGATGCAAACAGTGGTAAGTTGTGGAGTAGTCACTCTTTTAATTTTTAAGAACATTGATATATTGTATATTCTTATTAATATATTAATACATATATTCTTGTTTAGTTTACAATATGGTGAGAAATTTCACAGCTGATTATGATCGCACTTTAATTTTTAACAAAGTGCATCATGAATTAAATCAATTTTGTTCTGTACATACACTACATGAAGTATACATAGATCTGTTTGATCAAATTGATGAGAATCTAAAGACTGCGCTTCAAAGAGATTTGAATGAATTAGCACCTGGTCTTAATATACAAGCTGTAAGAGTAACAAAACCGAAAATTCCTGAAACAATCAGGAAGAACTATGAATTAATGTAAGTACTCTGTTAATTAATTGAGTTCCTTTAGGTTTCAATTTTTTTAAATGTTTTTATAGTTCATATATTAACTTGCTTTGAGAATTGTTCAGGGAAGCAGAGAAAACGAAACTGTTGATATCTACACAACATCAGAAAGTAGTGGAAAAAGATGCTGAGACTGATCGCAAGAAAGCCATTATTGAAGCTGAAAAAGAAGCGCAAGTTGCAAAGATTCAATATAATCAAAAGATTATGGAGAAAGAATCCCTGCAGCAAATGGCTGCGATAGAGGACGAGATGCATTTAGCAAGACAAAAGAGTCGTTCTGATGCAGAATTTTACCAGATGAAAATGCAAGCTGAGGCGAATAAATTACTTTTGTCTCAAGAATTCTTAGAGCTCAAAAAGTATGAGTCATTGGCACACAATACGAAAATATATTACGGGCAAGACATTCCAAGAATGTTTGCATATGGAAGTTGTTCGAATGATGTCAATTTTAAATCTAATAGCAATATTGAAGAGAAAAAGTTATGAGCAATGAATAATGCTCTACAATTTATATCTTATTATTATTATTATTATTACATAAGATGAAATATGAGTAATCATATTTTTTTGGATAAAATACTTTTACGATAAAAAAAATTGAAAAACTTTGAAAAATTTACATGTTCCAGTTGTGCGCAGGCACATTTTTTTCTATATAAAACATTACAAACATAGATTACACATGATTTTAGAATTTCGGAATGTTACTTATTCCTCGAAATTTGTGTGAGAAAAATTCTGTATGAATGTATTAAATCCATGTAGATAAGAAGATACATTATGAATACACAAATACATAATATCTTTTTTATTATACATAAAAAACAGTTTCTTTAATACAAGATGATATTATGTGATAACTACACAATCATAAATTATAATAATTACAATTACAAAAAAGAATATATCTAGACTAGAGACCTGAGAAAATGAGAATTGAAATAAACTTTTAGTTCGGTTACAGTTATCAATAAGCTCTAATAATTTTAGTACGACTTTTCTTCAAAGAAAAGACTTGTTTTCTTAAATGAAATAGACATGTTAAAATTATAATAATATTTGAAATATTAAATTTATCTTATGATTTATGTTTTATGGTTATTAATCTCTAAAACAGTGCTGGGATTTACTTGCACATTTCAGCCGATTTTCAACTTGGTTCCTGTCCCCCTCGGTTCCTGCCGATCGACACTTAGGTTGGGCGCGGGTCAGCGCGGACTGAAGTAAGTTGAAAATCGGTCGAAACAAATAAATCCTAGCACTGCTCTAAAACATTTGTAGTAGTTCATATTTTTTATTTCGTTTATAACTGTACTTCGATTGTTTTTATATGAAAATATATAATTGGTAAAATTTGTTCATTTAATTTTTCTCTCCCACTCCCCCCCTCTCTCTCTCTCTCTTTCTGTCTCTCTCTCTCTCTCTCTCTCTCTCTCTCTCTCTCTCTCTCTCTCTCTGATGTATCAGAGAATAAAAAAAATTAATACCAAATTTAAAGGTAAGCAAATTTTTTAAACCGTTTTTCAAATTTATACACGTCGAGAAATATTGGGATAAAATGAAATGAAAATGTGTCATTTGACTTTTTTACGGTGTTCCTTCGTTCTACGCGTATGAACTTTGGGCTCCTCCAATGGTAAGGATTTAACGTCACTTATATTCTGATTTAGCGTCCGTAATTCCTCCAACGCTCTTTTAGCTAATTTCCCTTCTGGTGTGGTCAACGGTTCCAAAAGAAGCATAGTCAGAGCTTTCTTTAAAAGATCTCTAGCTTCTTCCAATTGACAGGTCAATTGCGTTGAAGAAATCTCACGCGCAGAATAAGATCGATTTGCCAATATTATTATAGGTAAATGCATCTCATATAACATTATGCCTGAAATTTTTATAATATTGATAAATATTTTTCGTAATTATATAAAAGTACTTTTATAAAATGTTATAATATTTACTTATTAATTTACTATTTGCTTATTATTTTTTCTACATATTTACAATTTCCTATCAGAATTTTTTATATTCTATAATATATAATTAATATACAATTAGAATTAAATAAGCAATATTGTGTTCATACCTTTTAAACGTGATATACCTGGCTCTACTATATCTAAGACATCATAGATTTCCTTACACGTATCTAACATTTTTTGTACAATCTTTTTCTGAGGATTGAGGGACGTTATTTCTTTTCTACAAACCGTTAATAATTTCTGCTTTAAAGACAACATTAGGAAGTGATTGGTATGCAGCGATCGGGATAATTTTTTAAGCAAACTGTCTATCTTCTGAAAAATATTAGCTATTATTACTGCTGTAATGATTATGAAAAAAAATGCTAAGTTCTAAATATATTTCCAATTTATATAATCACGAACTTTTATGTCAACGTCCTCACATTCGTCGATAAGTATTCTGCATATGTTTAACGTAGCTCTGATCAGACGACCGCCGTAGGTTCTCTTGCACATCTGACATTGCCATCGACTTCGCTCATATGGATCGACGATGGAAGTATCTTGTATGGCTATAAATCCTTTTTTGCAACGCGGACATAACACGCTACTCAAATGCGACTGCAATTCGTATGGATCCATACATAAAGAGCATTCGCATTCGAAATACTTTCCTTCTCGAAGATGATCCTTTCTATCAGCTGTACCCTAGTTAAATATATTGATAATCCAGTATTAGTTCCAAGTTTTCCAGCACTCGTATTCAAAAAATTATTTCTTTGGATCAACGAAAATTTCTTTGAATACAAACAAAGAGATATTTCTCTAAAATTAAAATATTTTTTTTTAGTGTATAAACAAATTCTGTGATTGTTACTATGTTATATCATAGTTGATTATTTTTTCTCATATTCGACTGTGATTGGTTAATTTTCTATGACTTAAGACTCTACGACTGCTATTGTAGACCCCGCTTTACCCTACAGTATTTATACATAAAACAAGAAAATATTGCTTTTTAAAATTCACTTAATAGATATTGCTAATAATAAGAATCTCTTTTAAATATAATGATGATAAAAATGTTTTTTATAAAAAGGCAGCTTTTAATTAAATCATTAGATATTATTGAATACAACTTAAATTAAATCTTCGAGTAATATTGAAATATCAGCAAAAAAGCAACATATTAATTTTCATCATATTTCAGTAATTACTGACCAGCAGCGACGAAGTATAATTGAAAAGGATAGGTTCATTCTGTTTAATTGCTACACTTGCATAAACAGTCAGCTGAAAATTGTCGTCTACAGTGAGATGAGTATTGCCTCTGCAATCATGAGCCATCAAAGTTGCTTCAATATATAAACCTCGCAGAAGGAGACCATCAAGTGCACTAGGTGATCGCAACTCAAAAGTATTCACATCCAAAATTCCGCACAATTTCTGCATTAATTCCGTGTTCGGTGGCTCAATCTCAGTCGGCCAACGAAGCCTTCGGATTACCTGTGTTACATACACAATATTGCACGTTACAGAATGGACATCTCTTGGTAAATATTGGATTGGAGGAAAAATTCTACGGTATTTTCCCAAGCAAAAACAAATCATTACGATATCAATATGAAGTCAAAATGACTCCAAAATAATCATTAAAAGTAATTTTTCAATCATTTTCGATTCATTTTAATGTCTTTTTAACGTTATCGTGACTTGTTGTTCTGCTTGGATTGTTAGCTCAAAATTATATATACAATATCTTCGTTAAAAATGATCATTTAAATAAATTTCAATTTAAATAAATGGTTTTAAAGCTTGAAATCTCTACTTTCGAATGGTTACTATATTTTTTTAATTTATGTAAGTTTTATAATTTTTATATACAGAAAACTAGTTGAAAAAAGGGAAATTTTTCTTCTCACTTTATGGGTCTATCATGTGCCAAATAAATTTACGAAAATTTTCGACTATCTATATCGTAAAAGTTTGGAGTTTTCCTTACAAAATCGTTTTTTTTTTAATATTTCTACAATTTTTTGTTCTTGAATTATTCGCGAGAATAAAAAGGAACATTCTGATTTTACTCATAACACTCCATAAATTATTGTATTGCAATTTAAAAAATTCTTAAAGATTCTTAAAGCTGAAATGTTGCTCTATCGAATAGTATCACACGAATTTAATTTTAAATATAAAATATATAGAAATTTGAGTTAAAAATATAATATTACTATTCTTATAACTATTGCGCAATGGAAAAAATAAATCACATTTTTAGCTTAAATGTATATTTTTTTTAAATTGGCAATTACACCACTTGATAGAGCAACGTTTCAGCTTTAAGAATCTGTTTTATTACAATAATTACGGTACGATGGTTTTTAACGGAGTTGTAAGCAATCAAAATCAGAATGCTCTTTTATAACATTTAATCCGCGTGTAACTTGGTAACCAAATGTATTAGAAAAATTTTTTAAAAACGAACTTTTAAGAAAAACTTTAAGCTTTCACGTTAGATTATCAAAAATTTTGCAACAAATATATATATTTTGTATATAATTTTGAGTTGACAAAATTCCGCAGAACTTTTTCTTCAACTCAATATCTTAGGAATATTTACGCTATTCTTTTATTTTGCATAGTGAATTGTGGATTAAATGTTCAAAATATATAAAAATCTGATTTATGCAAAACTCACATCTACAACATTGACTTCTCTGTCCCTCCAAACGGACGTGCCAATCCTTTTATCCAAATGAGCCTCCATACAATTTATTTTTTCCCACACAGCTGGATTCTTGTGTTTTATTATCCATAGCCGCAAGGCCAATAAAATTCCTGCTGCATCAATTCCGCTTTCTGTTAATAGATCTCGATTATCTTTAAATATTTGGCATTCTTCATTCGTATGAAGATTTGTCCGTATCTTTAAAGATAGGAAAAAGAAGATTAAAAATGATGATGATGATGATGATGATTTCGAAAGTATCATAGTGTTATGTAACACGCGCAGCAATTCTCAAACTTTATTTTTGTTATATTATTTTTGTCTTTCTTAGATAAACAAATCTTAGATAAGCAAAATTTCATACAGTTACTAATTGCATACATTTTTCCCAAGTAATCTTGCTTATAAGAGTTTTTAAGTTTTATCCAGTGCATCCTGCTCCCAATATATTTCTTTTCTCGTATGAGAACAAATTCTTTCTCTTTGAGAGAATCGCGGATGTAATGTACTTCAGTTTATTACCTCGCATGCTACGCTGCACAGCGGCACAAATTTACATCTGGAGCAAGCGTACTGCTTTCCTTCGCCAATTTTTGGTAACGTGCGCATACAGGCAAAACAGAAACAATCCTTCTTATACACCATCGGACCGACCGCGATTGGTTCTTCTCGAATTATAACTTCCCCTGCTGCTATGTTTTTAGCTGTTACGAGATACCTTATAAACAAAAGATATGTAATATTACAAAAATAATTACAATTGTGCAAAATATGTAATTGCTTTAATATATAGTACACATCATGTTTATTTTTGTAAATGCAAGAAGTGCTAAATTTATATTTTAAGGATAAAATCATAAACATATAAAGGGATTTATTTTTTCTATATTAATTCTATAATTTCTATCAAAATTATTTAATGAAAGACAAAAAAAATAACAATTTAATTGTATAAAATAAAGAGTGTTTGCAAATGATAAGATAATGTTTTGAAATGATCATATATTTCGTGACTTCGTCACAATTTGATTATACATTGATTATATATTTATTGATAGACGTATACATAAATTATGCAAACGTATTAATATTGTGCTAAATAGTTAACTTGTAATTGCAATTATACCTTCCAAGTTTTTTCGAATGCGCAATCTTATACTTCGCAGTGGGCGTCATGTCTCCAGATTACTTCCTTCAAGTTAGCGATAGTCGATCCGTAACTGGTATCAGCAAGCAGGCATCAGTAATACGAACCGTCTTCCTTAGGCACTCACGCGACACGCTGTATTATTAGACACCGCATGGCATCGCGCGCAATCTGTAATGTTAGTATGCAGAACATGATGCACGCAGTTACAACAAAACGATAAAAATCCCATGTAAATTTTTTGTATACACACGCTATATCTATAATATGTATACATATATTTGATACAAAATCAGAAATATTTTTAAAATGTTGTATAAATTTCTTTAATTTCCATTCTTTTAATTATTGAGATATTCTTCTCTGTACGAAAACAATTCAATAATAATCAAGACTATTGTAATTCATTGTAATATACTACACATAATATTTTAAAGAAAGATATTTGTGTGTATATTTAGGACTTTCAGGACGATATTTTACAGTTTAGCCTGCTTCCAATTTCTGTTTTATATATATGCTATACATATATATTCATTTATTACATGTTTAAATTTTTGCGAATTAGATATAAATATTTTCCATATAATTTTCTCTTCTGATTGTTTCATAAAATTATTTCTCTTGATTAATAAATATAAATAGATGGAATTGGCTATTAGTAACAAGAAATCTCAAGAAGTATAGCGTTTATTAATATAAGTAAGTTTGTACAAGTAACGAAGTTTTACAAAAGATACTTATAAATCATTTATGGACTGTTCCAGTTGAATTATAGATTCTTTTGCGACGACTCCTATTTGTCCTTCGGATGTTTCTGATGGTTCTAGGCTTAATATCGTAACCGCCTCTTTTAGGATATTCGCCGCTTCTATCATTTTGGACTTTAATCTGGTTTCGTCAATGACACCGGCATTCCACTGACCTTTAGCCAAGAATAGTAACGGTGCGTGTAACTCATATAACGTCATGCCTAAAAAGATAAGACAATAAAATTATCCAAGCATCTTTTCTCTAATTAGAAACACATTTAAGAAGCACATACCTCTTACACGACTGTACCCCGGCTCCACAACGTCCAATACTTGAAGCAATAAACGGCACATATCGACTTTGTGCTCCAATACAACATCTGGCAAATCGTCTAACAAGTATTCATCCACTCGACCGTACATTTGAGTCAATGAGTGCCTAAGAAATATTATTTTTAGGAATTATTAATAATATAACATGAAAAGTGTACGAGAATACGAAAAAAAAAATATATATATATATATAATTAAAATTATTCATTAAGGTACGTATCTATTATTAGATTTTTGATTAATTGCAAATTTGGCGAAACGAATTAAGCTCGATAAAATAAAGTTAATTCCTGAATTTAATTAATTTACCTTAACATTGAAAGAAAGGCATGATGAGGATGTAAAACTAATCGATACTTTTTCATAACGGTTTCCCTTTCGTAAATCGCATCAGCTCCATCAGCTCCACTGATTGCTTCAGCGGCGTCTACTTCCGCTTGAATAATCCGGAGAACTTTTTGCACTGCTTGTCCGTTGGTAGAAAAATCGCAATGCGTACACTTCCATGTACTTTCCGAATCTGACAAATATTTTTAATTATGAAGACATAATTACTATTTTATATTCTAAACGTTAATAGATTTGAAACTTCTACCAATGTCATTATACGGAATCGCCAAATATTGAAATCAATATAATTTCAATTCCTGACACTGAAAGAACTTTATGTTTTTGCATTTTGTTTATGCGAAATAAGCATAAGAAACGTTATTGCATGATTAGAATGTCTAAAACTGAGTTCAACTTATTTCAATAATCCTTGATTTTTGTTTAATTAACGTTACAACCAACTTAAAAAAAAAAAAATATTATAATAGACATTATTGCACGATACCTAAAGAATCCAGTGATAAAACAATCCCGTTGTCGCATTTGTTACACTTCAGCGAAGACATGTGAGTGCCCAATTCCGTAGGATCTGAACATCGCGGACACGCGCAGGCGAAGTGTTTACCCTCGAGTAGATGCTCTCTTCGTAGGATCGTCGGAAGTAACGAGTGAGTGTAACTCGCGTAAAGTTCACCGCCCGCAGGAATTTTAAGTGTAGTACGCAGCCGTATCCTGTAGAATGGCGTGTATAATTGCTATTTGCATTTAATACGGGACTATCTTCATCAGCATAATAAACCGTGTGAGATTTCTTGAAGGATCGCACAGTGTGCAAATTAATTGAGGAAGGGTTGTGCACAAGCATGTAACAAGTAAGTAAAATGCTGTTGCTTAGATACCGTGCTTAAATTTTTTGCTGGCAGTAAATGTTTAGTGTCTAATATCATTACAAACAATTGCGTTTTTATTTTATTAAGTAACTTGTAAGTAACGATTATTAATTGATATACCTATAATCAACTGGCGATATGCTGTGAGATGTGTTCGAGACACATGAGTGATTCATCATAGCGACTGTTGGATAAAGGCCACGTGCGCTGAATCCTTTTACCGTCCGAACTTCGAACGTATTAATCTCCAAAATACCGCATATCGTTTGTATGTACTCCTCTGTGAATCTGCAAATATTTATTGACTGTTTCATTTCAAGTAATACAGATCTACATTAAAACAATATTAAGCGGTTCCTAGACGCACAATATTATTGCGCAATAATTTTGTACAGTATTATTGATGCCACCTTTAAACAATTTAAAACGAACAGTTTAGGAGCTTAATAAGTCTCCATACGATTAATAATATTTTACAATATCAGATATTGTGTAACAATATTAATCGCCTAGGGATCGCTTTAGTATTATAAAATGCCGCAATAAATATACCTATCAAGTTTGAGCCGTTTTCTCAGGTAATCTACGATATTGATTTGATCTGACTTCCATTGATTTTTCCGACATCTTATTTTATTATGCGCTTCCATATCCTTTATCTCTTTGTTCCATCTTTCGACGTTTCTCTCCGACTCCAACAATAGTCTCAACGGCGTTATGCATTCTAATTGCGGAACACCGTTTTCGCTATTCCCATCCAGCGCGGCGTCTACGTTAAACTTCTCGTTCGCCTGTTCAAACACCTGCCGAAGAAAATAGATCTTTATATATGCAAAATATAATATCAAGAAAAAACAGACATTCACAGTTAAGGAAAGCTACATATCTATAGCTCTATATATATTTATATAAATATAAATTAAAATGACTGCAATTAAAATACTGCAAAGCTTTCCAATACTTTTCATAGCTCTTCACTTATTGAAAAGATTTACGATCACAATTTTTCGCAGAATTTAAGAAAAAAGCTCTCTAATTAAAATCTTATTTACCTGGCACTCGTAATCTTTATGTTGTGGAGCATTTTCGCATTGTTGGCCACATACAGGCCATCCGCACTTGGAACATATCGGTTTGTCATCCGGTACAGGAGGCCAAGGTGTAAAGCAGGAGAGACACAAGGGATACGTACATGCCTTCGGCCCAACGACAAAGGGCATTTCCGTGACGATTTCTTCACCAGCATATAGTTCTCTATTCGCGATCATGTATCTGTCAAATCAAATGCAATTTTTTTTTATAAACACTTTAATAAAACATATGTGATCAAAATAATCGGAGTCCAATTTAGAAAATTGCTGATATAATTTTCTTTGCCACGTCAAAGCAGATTTATTTCTTTCTAAAATCATAAACTTTTTAAATTCTTTGACAAATCTATTTTACTTTGTACACATATCATATTTGAATGATTTTACAAGTTTATATTATCGTGTGAATCTCCCGTGTATTCATCAATTCCTCCGGTTCCTTTGACTTTGCAAATGTTTCATAATTCAGATTAAGCATAATGCATAAACCAAACAGTTTAATGCACCACGAGTTTTAATTAAGAGAATATCATACTTCCTTATTTAATTTAAAATTACTCGTAGATTTCTTATTCCATATTTTATCTCAGATTTGAATAATTTATTAGCTATATTCTTTCATTTTTTCTTACCTGCCAACCTGTTCATTCTGCAGCACTTTGTATGCCTGCGATGCGGATACGCCACTTTGCTAAAATCAGAAAACGAAATCGTGTGTTGCTAAAACTGAAATTATTATATCGTAAATTGCACGATTAATGTTACAAATTTTAATATCTCTCGCGAAAATTATAAATAGGTAAGAATATCTAAGATCATAGGAATAATTAGGGTGTAAATTCTATCAAACTCTGATTAACTCGATTAGCTGTTAATTCAATTAGCCAAATATATTTGCTGTAAAATGTCTCTAGAATTTATCATCCCTAATTTTCTTTACATAATCAAAAAATATAAAATATTTACTTAGTTCAAGTATCATTTAATAAGTTATATATATATATATAATCGAGTTAATTAGTTTGATTCAAATATCATTGCGACATACCGATTCTTGCGACATGCTCAGGTGAGAATCAAGCTAATGAGAAGCAATTAACTTCCGTCGTCGATGAGTTGTTGATACCGATTGAAGGCCCGTGCTTGAACTGAGCCAGAGATCGTAATTACCAGGCGCTTTATTTCTTGGCTCATTGAAAATATTGCACATAAGCTCTGCCAATAGTACAATCTACAGTTTCTACTAGACGAATAGCGAGATTTGTTTCGCAACTTTCGGACACGACGCGTTGCGATCTACGCGGTCGGTGTGTATTTTTGGGACTTCAAATGTACAGAAGCATCCAAAAGCTGATCGTTTTCCGAGATCCATCGATTGCATTATTTAAAACTGATAATAATGAACCTTTTCTTTTACATTTAAGAGGATCCTAAAACATATTTTATCTCTAATAATAATTTTTGAAATTGATTATTTGACAATTATTAATAAAAATATATTAATTCTGTTACTACAAAATACGATCAAATCCTATAAAAAATATAAACAATATCAATAACAAAGTTTTATAATATATATGCGTGTGAAATAATTTTATAAAAAGTCAAGCAAAACATTATAACATCAAAAAGATGTCAAAATGACTCCAAAATATTATTTATAATTCATTTTAACGTCATTTTAATATAATTTTGATATTACCGTGACTTGTTCTGCTTGAGAAGTTCTCTCTCTCTCTCTCTCTCTCTCTCTCTCTCTCATGAGAATCGCTAAAAATATTAAACAAAATAATGTAATTACCAGCTTTAACATTTATTCCGGGGCAGCAGCTTTATCTGTATTTAGATTATTTATCTAATCTAAAAAATTATCATTTTATTTAAAAGCGTCAAAACTCTGCTCGATCATTATTCGGTGATTTGATCATATGATCACATCTTTTCACCATCGTCTTATTGTTGAGATTCTATCACCATGTTGAGGAACAATGACAATGCTGAAAAATATTTTGAAATTTAAACAAAATTGTAACTTTTCAAATAAATTATTATAATAATCTTTTTTCAAAAATAGAAATAAGTTTCTTAGTTTAAAAACTTATATTAGAGATCCTATTTTTAAATTAGAGCGCACATTATTTGGTATAATATATAAAAACACTGTATACCAAAAGCTTGACAAAAAGTCGAAAGGAACTCTAGAAATTCTAGTTATTGTTTATAATTTTATTTTACAAAATGACAATCTCTCGAATGATAGCTTGGCAATGATCTCCCTTTTGATGTTCATCAATCATCCGCTGTAATCCGAGCAAACGCCTAGATCAAATTTTCATATAATCATATTAATGTATTGACATAAAAATCTATATAATATACATTGAAATATATAGTATATTATACATATATAAATTTGCACACTTATTGAAACATGTGAGAGAGAAGATTAGAATAGATTAAATAAATTAGGATAAATTAGAACGACAAATTATATAATTTAGAAAAATTATAAGTAAATATAGATTAGGGCAGCCCTTCCCTCCTCCTACATATATAATAATATGAATATGAAATTATAACATTGATGTTATTAATGTTATTATGTTACTTTTAGTTGATGTTTACAGGATAATTAAATTTAGAATTATAATTTAGCTTAATTGTGTGTATAATTACAGAATTTTTTTTGTAAACAATTCTGCCTATAAAATTATTTCTAATTTAATTGAACCACTCAGCAGAAGTAGATTCGAACAGTTTGAACCATTCGATCTATCGGACCTGATTTCAGGTCGAAGTCGAGCTCTGCGCTCGCGATTAATTGGATTAATACGAACATCTTCGCTTGGATTCGTCTGAATGCCCGAGATGTTTGATAGTCCTGATAGGTACTCGCAGCTCAAACGTTTCCAGTTCGATCGCACGATTCAAATCCAAACGCCGATACGGAACACTATCGTGCCGCCTCGGCCGCGCAGAAATAGGCCGGGCGCTTTTTCTCACACCACGTCGATACGCATGCGCACAATCCGTAGGTCGCAGACTCTTTCTCTCC